AGCGAAAGCGAAAGCTAATCGTGTCATGCCCTGCGCGTCGGAAATGTTCATTGGCAAGCACAACTCTTTGTCCGGTGTCGTCACGAGCATCGATGTGCTATATACTCTGAATTGTGTTATGTGATATCTTTGTGACGCAAGACGACAAAGCAAAATAGATATTGATGATATCATGTAGTGTACACTTCTTGTTCGCAGGCATGCGTACACCAGCACCACTCACCATTTATACCCATTTTTGTTGGCGTGGGGCATCCGCGGGAAATCGGTGCATGGTTGTGCCGAACTGTGACCGTGATGGGCAAAAGTAAACCACGCCGGTATATTCACACTTACCGTAAAGAAGTCAGTGCCGCAATATCAACGGAGTTACAGAGGCAGTGCGTAATATCTGCCAAAAGGCACGACGAGCGAACGGCGGAAGAGAGCCAGCCAAAACACACAAAGCCGCAGACACGGAAGAAGAAATCGCGGGAAGTGCTGGCGAGGGGCGCCGCAAATCGCTCAGTCACGTGGCGCGCACTCTACAGTCAAATTTAAACATCTTCTAGGCTACATTTTTCCTTGATTTTTTGTAGATGTTACGTATGTCTCCGCATAAATCCATCTTACTTATTACCTTCCCTTCAGAATTTTTGGTCGATGCTCCTTTAATAGGAAACCAAGGCGTTTTATCGATATTCACTGATTTCAATAAAACTTTGAGCATGCGTTCTCGTCGATGCAGTGGTAATATGTTCCAAGTTATACAACTGTAATTTATTTAGTCTTTTAGACCACACATTTTAAAATTGGTAGCCGATTCTAGAATCCCACTTGTAAACGCGAACTGTGACGTAAGGGTATACTCTTTTTTTCAAAAACCCCGCCTTCTTCAGCAGACGGATGTGCCATGCGCTTTGTACTACGAGGCGACGACAACGCGAGCACAGTTCAGTTTCGTCAGCTACGTACAGCGTGTTTGTCGTCGTTGACGTCGGGTCTTACAATATTGAGCAACGAGGAAATCAGAGACACCACGAGAAGTATCAGCAGTAGTATCTTAAGTTGTATCCGACTGTAGTCGGATACAACTTAAGGATTCCTAAAAGGCTGCGCCGCGACAACCGAAGCGCAGCAGCCGACCGCGTCCGCGGCTAAAGAAATAGTTCCGCTCATGTTTTCCGAAGGTGGAGTCACCGACCGTCTGACTCATGACGGCAGCCTGGAGCAACGTTTCTAGAACTAGGTAAGTTGCAAAACTGAGCGATGTTGCGCGGCGTCCCCGCTGCCAGCGACAAATGTGGCGCTGCTGTCGCATCCGGATTCACTCACTCCATGCTCGCTCGTGTCACTCCCGTAACCACCATCGCCTGTGCATGCTGCAGTGCGTCGATATCTGGGGAGGCTTCTTTCTGCGTGAACAGTTTTGTGCTTCAGCGCGCCCTGTTCTGCTTTGTATGTGTTGCGTGCTTCCATCATGCCCATATGTTGCGTTCTCGGCTGTAGAGTAGCTACAGGAAATGAGAGACAGCACGACATTTATTTTGTGCCCACGTGTACCTGAGCAGCGAGAGGTATGAGACCACGCTATTCCTCGCGCGGATAAGAAACTGCCCAGCAACTCCCGTGTGTGTGATATGCATTTTCATGAGGAGGACATCCTGAAGACTTTCACGCACGTCATATGATAAGAAGGTACAAATCGCAAGAGCAAAGTGGGACCTCGTCGAAGGATGCGATCCTCGAATATTCCCAAATTTGCCCACTTACCATTGTCGTGGGGCCCGCGACAAAGAAGCGAAAGCTGCCCTATAGGAGTGGGGTATTTTCCAGAATGTCATCGGTGAAAAAGAATAGACTACCTCTGAGCACTGAGCTTGAAGACTGTGAAATAAGTCCCGACATGCCGTCAACTAGTGGCGTCATTTCGCTTAAAGACATAGAAAAACGTTTGTTTGCATGCTGGCGGAAAATGTTGAAAATGGCAAAACAAGACGTCTTGTGGTGTTTCTAGGGCTCAAAAAAAAGCGCCATTTGTCGAGAAATGCGTTGTAGTCGCAGAAGACATGACAGTCACCATTAGCAGCCGTCACCATCGCTTGGCCAAGTCACCCGGCAATGCAGATACCATCATCCGATTGGCCGAACTTCTGGAGGACATGGAAAAGCTGAAAGTGTGTTCATGTTGTCCCAGTGCGTCAGCAGGCAGACTCATGAGTAATGACTACGAAGTGCTCACCGATACCCCAAAGTGCGGTCTCTGCTCGAAGCTTTGGCTGCAGCTGTGTTAACAGCTTTCATTAGAGGAACTCCAGAAGAATCAGAGGCAAGACGTGCTCAAGAAAATGACCTCACGCGTAGCTTTTCGACGGTCTAAGTTGCTAAAGAATGTGACTGACATGAAAAAAAAAAGCTGACTACATAACCGGACAAAAGCCACGAGATTGCGCCACATAGTTGTAATTTATTTTCAAGCACGAAAAACACAGCCACAAAAGAGGATGCAAGACATTGTAGTTGGGTTTTCGCGTCTAAAAATCTATTGCGAACGTACACCAACTAGCAACTAACCGAAAGACTTGTGTATGTTATGCTATATATATCAAGCATTGTTTATTGGGGGCTGTTCAGAGAACCATAATTATACTGTATTTGCCTTAGACCGCTAAATATTGCGTAGTATTAAGTTTCTTCGGCAGCACAACAAATCTCGATAATATACTGTTGGCAAAGCTCTTTCAGAACGGCCGCCACGGCGCCTTGCCACGACGACTACGCGTTTTCGTCTGCTAGCGGAAGCTTGTTGCGCCGCCAGTGCCACCAAACCGGAAGCTGTCCCGGCACCGTGTGACGAGTAGTCTAACGCGCGGACTTTTCCAACTTACCTAGTCTAGGAACGTTGGTCTGGAGCACGCGTCCATTGGAGCAGGCTGGTGTTCATCCACCTTTGGAGAGAAAATGCCGGTGATTCCTAAAGTTGTATCCGACTATAGAGTGGGCTTCGGCAGCTACTGCGGTATGGGAAAAAAGGTCTTTTTATATCGCCTCTCTTTTTTTGGGGGGGCTCACTCTGAAACAAAAGGAGTTGGCTCTTTTTTTACAGTTCTCACGATTTTCAAATAGACTAGTTTTTTATGGACGTCATTGTATTTTTGCAGGATACTTGCTGGATCCAAAAATAGTTAACATGTCTCTTTAACCCATTCAGCCCTGGATTTTTTATTTTGGTCGGATACACTTTTTGTGCGTGTTTTTCTCGTAGTTAGGACCTCAGAAGACCACAAACAAAAAATTGAGCATGCGTTCTCGTTAATTAATCCAAAATTTTTTGGATTAATTAACGTGGCATCAAATTAGGTGATTAGGGCCCAGTGATTGGAAAATGAAAAAATGGCTTCCTTTTTCCTGCCAATCAATGGTGTACACAAAATGTAAACCAACGTCTTACTTTTCAGCCCAATACTCACTGAAACAGCTTCGGTACGTCGTCCCGAAAATGGCGCTTACCCGCCTCAACTTGCGCGCCTCGGCTTCACGGAAGACTTCGGTCGCGCTTCTTCTTCTTTGTGGCTGCTACCTCCACAAACATGCGCCTATATTGGTGTCAATTGCAGTGCGGATCATTGAAGAGCTATGCCCCCAAGAATGAGTAGTATTGGTTACGTTTCCGAGATACTAGGGGAAAATGTTGTGCGGTGGTGTCAATTGACACTGCCGGGGCCGGAAGGGTTAAATAGGGCCATATAAGTGGCGAGCCTGTGAACAAACCGAACAAAATAACACTTTCTTTAGCTGCACGGTGGTTCAGAGGCACAGTACCTAGTCCGCCTCGGTGAAATAGTGGCTACGGTGTTCGGCATGCTGACCCGAAGGTCGCAGGTTCGATCCCGGCGGCGGTGGTCGCATTTCTGTGTAGGCGAAACGGTATATAGAGGCTCGTGTACTGTGCTACGTTAGGGCACGTTGAAGAACAACAGAAGCGCTAAATTGCCGGAGCCGTGCACTATTACGTGTCTCATAATGCTATCGCGGTTTTGGAACGTGGAACCCTAGATATTATTATCGTTAGGCACAGTACCTAGAGCCTACATGACGAGTCTAAAAACCAAGTTTCTAGTAGAAAATGACCGTTTTATTTTTCAGATAAACACGCCGTCAAAGAATGCATGAAAATATTGTCATAAACATAATGACCGGAAGAAAAAAAAGGAGGCTTAGCATTCCAGTCATCTTAGGCAAATGTGCATAGAACAGCGAGATTTTTGTATAATTCTTGTAAAGCAAGCATCGAAAAGACAAGGCGGGTATAATAAAACTGACGAATCATGATTATGTTCCAAAAACAATGATCAGGCCTCGTTTTCTTTGGCGAGTTCAGTCAGTTACCAGGTGGGGTAAACTAGAAAGCACAAAAAGTTTACACTACGTACTAAAAACCAATCCCACAATTCACCAAGGCAAGTGTAAAACTCTGTAATGATGGGTTTACATCCCAAAACCACCAGAGACTAAATAGTCAAGGGCTTCAAAAATTTTTACCACCTGGGGTTGTTTAACGTGCACCCGAATCTGAGCACATGGACTCGCAGCACAGCTGTAAAATTCAGTGCCGTAGAATGCGTAGTGCATCTTAGGACATTGCAAAACGCATGTATCCAAGAAGCATATACAGTGCAAAGGAGTGTTCCTGGGAATTTTCATTTGCCAAACAGGCTGACAAGGGATGCAATAGGGGGGGGGGGGGGGGGTAGAAATTTCCAGGCTGCTATCCTATGTAATTCTATGGAAGCACGGCCTGGGAACGTTTGAAGGAACCTTGACGTAGTAGCCAAGTATTGAGATGTCTCATTATTGCTTACACCCCTTGAACATGCACAATATGCACATGTGGCCCAGAGCAGCTAGGAATATCTTGGTTGAACAGCGCACGCGAGACGAGTTCTTTTTTGTCTGTGTTCTTTTTTTTCGTCCTCGTCTTGCGTGAGCTGTTAAGCCAAGATGAACCCATACCAACTCACCCAAGCATCCATTCTTATGCAGCTAGGAATAGCTGAACGAGCAAGCCAGCATGAGATGACTGTTCAAAGAGCTCGTGCACTCCGACACACTGAACACGTACGTATCGATGAAGTACATTTATTTCGAGCTATTTACAGTAATTGTTCATCTCTGATAACAAAGTTACATGTTATTTACATATCACAGAGTGCTTAGTATCACATCAGCTTCAAGAGTACTCGACGAGGGCCACCAGTGCAGCAAGATCATACTTGCAACGGGAATATGCTCTGATGCAGCCAGGCACACCACCTGACCTTCCCTTGTTGTAGGCCTTCTCAAAGTCCGCAATGGTAGGGTGCCGGCCGAGGGGTCGGACACCGTTCATGAAGGCAACCACGCGTTGTCCGTACGTACCGTACCGTGATGGATCTGCACTGACTTCGCACGACAAGCGAAGCATGCAGCGGTCCGTGTCCAGGTCACGCACCAGCTCGATAGCTTCCTTGATGATGCGTGAATTCTTTTCGATACTGCGGCGACCCTACGAGATCACAAAAGCAGCAAACGTTGGTCTTGCTGCTCGTACTGAATATGCAGCAACTGTAAGCTCACAGGAAGCCATGCATATTGTCTTTGCAAGTGAAATGTACTTGCAGTTACTGTCACACCGACTTCAGGTATATACACACTAAACAAAAATGACCTGAAATAACCTCAAAAACTGGTTAAACCATTTGTCCTCTAGCGCACTACCTTTCCTGGGTTTTTTTTACCACCTACTACCGAGGTAAAAATTTACTCTCGTGCTAACTGAGTTTTTTGAACGTAGCGAGAGTAGTAATTATTTACCCCAGTGAGGTTTTCAGCGAGTATAGAGAGAGTAAATTTTTACTACCTTCACAAGGTTTTTGAGGTGATTACTGGGAGTTATTTCTGGTGGTAAAAAAAATAAAAAATGACGGGTGCATTCGCCCAGAGTCGACAAATTTATTGAATAGCAGAATTGATTGAAATTATTGAATGGCAGAATTGGTGACACATACATTCACATACAAACAAACACGCACACACAACAAATGCAGAATAATACACCACTAGCACAGACTGCACGCGTTGCGCGATTACACTTCGACAATCCGGTATATATATAGGCACGACTTTTTGACCGGCAATGTAGTACCGGTAGGAGAGCTCTTTTTTTGCATCGATTAACAACAACGCTTGAAGGTGCAGCGTAAGCTTCAGGTGGGCTACAGGGCACTAAATGTCACACCAACCTTTTATTATAAATCTACACGATCTCACCTTTTTGATTATCCAATAATTGCTTGGCACACCGGGCTCTTTGCCCCACGCGTGTTAGCACTGCTGATGCACAAGTCCACAAAATATACCTAGGTACGCACAAAGCATGGTAGCTCAATAATTTTCATTCAGCGACGGTGCACAAACACAGTAGCAGCACGTATTCATCACAACGGGCGTAGAAGAGCGGTCCACGCCTGCATACAAGCTGCTTACCGACGGCGTTTTAGGCCTTTTTGAGGAGCACGGCTATCCGATAAAACACAGCTGGCGATCACAGAACACATATCCTGTGCGAATTTCGTCGTCATTTCAGACACAAATGAACACGTCTCCGCTATCTTACTGGGACGGGGTGGTGTATGCACACTTCCAACGAAAGACCACCATCCCGGTTTTCTTCGTGCTCACGGGCAGCCTCTTGTTGTTTCCGTCTGCCTCCGTCTGCCTCGTACATGTTTGAGAACAGTTGGTGCATGAGGCGGTTCAATTCGGGCAGCACTTTACTCATGCAGACATCGCCTACTGTGGAACAAAATATATGCGATGCTTCTTTCACTTGCCCCGGCGACACATGTGCACTCCCACTGGTCACTGGTGGCCACGGCTCGGTGACGACGACAGAGTGAAGCATTTTGCTTATTGCTTCTCCAGCAGGCAAGCACGGACGATGACACCAGATTGATTTTGTTACCACTGGCAGATCTTCACGATTCGGCTCGGAAGTGAGATATCCGCGACGTGCAGGTTCGGAGGCGCTCGGTGATGTAGGAAACACGTGAGATCCATCAGCCCAACCAGACACACAGATACCGAGCTTCTTGCACTGTATGTCTCCAAAGCCACCACCGAGCAACAACATTTTGCGAAAATATGCAGGACAGCTTTCCACAGCAGGTTTTCTTTCTTTTTTTTTTCTCTTTTGAGAGCCCCCCCCCCCCCGTCTTTTTTTTTTTCGTTCAAAGAATGCTGTTCTCGCTTGTTGTGCTTATGCTGCCCCCAGTTCCAGTAAAAGTGCGCTGACTCGAGGTCAGTCCAGAGGCACGGCGATGCAAAAAAACAAACAACAACAACAACAAAAAAAACATCTGTGGGCTTCGCGTACCTTCAGTATTCACTGAGAGCGTGACAAGGGGGGTATGGGGCAAAAGCCGCCGAAGCAGCTGCACCTTGCAGTCACGTGGTAATAAACTCTGAAACGCAGGTTAAAAATCACGTGATAGAAAACTCCCTAAGTGGTAAAACTGGATTTTGACATCCTTTTACTACTTGCCTGAGAGGTGGTGGTAAAACTATGTCATGTACCATCTTTTACTCCTACGCGAGGTAGTAATTTTAAACCCGAGAGAGTTTTCAAAGGTCATGAGCCGGAAAAACCCCAAACTCGGATAGTTTTTGCTTACAGTGTAGCATGTTCCTAAAATCGGCCCGTAAAGGTTATGCTTTTTCGAACACGAGAGTTGTGGCCGTATGAGTTATTTCGAAATAACTGCGTTCAGGTTCAGATCGGCTGTACAAATTGTGTCTTTAACTATTGCTTTATTTATTAAGCTTGCAATCTATAACAAGCAACGTGGTTGATAAAGGTGAAGCTATCAAACTTATACAAACAAAATTATTTAACAAAAAAAAACACGTTCGATGGTTACTTACCCGCAAAGTGGCAGTCTTCTTGGTGTTCACTTTGATTACGGGGGTCTTCAGCTCTCCAGAGGCGTGGGCTATGGCACCATTAGTTCCCCTGACGCTAGCGAAGCCCTTACCGGAAAGCTTGACTTTGGGTGAATCAAAGCGAGTAGTTTGATTTGCCAGCAGGAAGAATGCTTTGGCAGGAAGCTGGACCGGAGCTGTCTTCACGCGGGGACCACCGACGACGTGCGGCAGCAAGGCGATGGGCACGGGGAGCACCTGACCAGAGAAAATTATTTGTGGCTTCGGCATGACGCGCGCATGTAGCTTGTTGCTTTCAACGAAAGCACGAAGACCAACGCCATAATGACTGACGTCCCACCAGCCGAGCAAGCCGAGGAGCTTCATAGCGATGGCGAGCTTGAGACCACCGACACCGCCGAGACTCACGATTGCCGAGATGGGAAGCAAAGCCAAGCTATACAGGAACATTGAATCCGCGCTCGGCATGGCTCCGATGACTAGGATGGCAGCGATGACCACGGTGACTGATGACAGCTTCATATTGGTGGGCCGCAGGAAACCTCTGTGGTGTCTGGCCTAAAGATGTCCGTTTTTATGCAGCAAGCTTCTTTGTTGAAGCCAAGCTTCTTTGTTGGTCACGTGGGTTGTGTTTTATGAGTCACCAACCCCTTCCCCATTTCCTTCCACCCCCCTTGTCGCTTACTCATCTCGTCTTCCAACCGACCCCGACATTAAATCTTGACGAGAAAATATGTGCAGTGCAGATACACACAAAAAAAGAGGAGGGTGCTCATGACGTCGATGACACCTAGAGAGGATTGATCACCACCACGACTACCACTGGGAACAGGGAGTAATAACAAAAAAAGACAGCTTTCAAATCGCAGAAAGTGGCAAAACAAGATGCACCTGTACCCTTTCTACTGCAGATAAGGTTGTAGTGCCTCTTCTTATTCATACCACCGCCCATCTCCGCACCTCCTTCTACTCCCCTCAGTCTTTGATTTCCTTTCTCCATCTCTTTGTCATTTCTTCCCGTTAACCTGAGCATCAACTATACGTATGGGCCTTATCTGCAATGCACAATAGAGGGAAGGAGTATTAGAGAGAATGATGGAAAGGGAGAGCAAGATAACGATGGTGATTTAAATTAGAGGGGACAGAGTCAGGTGATATATAGAGGCACTGAGGAGAATATTAACTTTAGAACACCAAAAGTGAAAAAAATAGCATTCGCAGGCTGCAGATAAAATTGCCGCGGCTTTTGTTACCAGTTGGGGTTACCTTTTCTATCATTCTGTTGCTGCCCCTTAGTCATCTCCTCTACTAACCTTCCTGTATACGATGAAGAAGAAATGCGCTTATTTCGGCAGCCCATTGGTTGTGAGCATGGCTCAGCGTCGGGACAGGAAGAGGGGGGGGGGGGGGGCTGGAAAGGGGAAGAATGTTGATCATAGCGGAAAAAAGGACCCCGTTATCGACATAAGTACTTTCTTCGAAAGAAGCCCCTTAGAGGAGCACCCATTGTGGTGCGGCGACATGAGATCATTCTTACAGTTTTGTTGGGCAGGTTTGTGCAGTGTCCGTGAGCGAGAGAGAGATGACAATGTCAATCAAGCTAGGTGACGGTTGATCAAGCTTCACTGGAAAGAGTGGGCATATCAAGACAGGGAAAAAATCTAACCAACGTCAGTGAAAAACAGGAAAAAAATGGCAGCATATTCACGGAGTGAATGATGGAGAATGGGCGAAGCATTCGTCCGTCCGTGCGTCCGTCTATGTGACCGTCCATGCGTCTGTTCGTGCGCCCGTCCCTGCGTTGGTTCATGCATCCGCCCCTGCGTCCGTTCATGCGTCCATCCATGCATCTGCCTGTGTGTCCGTTCGTCCATCTATTCAACACTTCAAGTACCACCATCTCGCATATTATCATCATATATTGCCTATATAGAAGCACCGCCATTCAGTGGATATTCCAAGGACTAAACGAGAGGCGGCACACGCACACTTTCTTACGGCTTGCGTTTCGGGTCTACTTCCCACCTTCAACCACCTTGAGTTCATGGTATAT